CACCGGAGCAACTAATGCTAGGGAGGAAAATGAGAGGAAGAACAAGAAGGAGAACACCAAGAACTCCAAGATCTAGATCCAAGGGGTTCCCCTCACATAGAGGAGAAAGTGATTGGTGGAAATGTGGATCTAGATCTCCTCTCTCTTTTCCGTCAAAAACTAGCAAGAATTCATGGAGGGATTGAGAGTTAGCAAGCTCAAAGAAGGTCAACAATGGGGGAAGAACACGGGCTCAAAAGGTTAGGTTCAATGGGGAAGAAGACCCCCTTTTATAGGAGGGGGAAAATCCAACCGCTATGTGCTTAGCCCGCACACGAGCGGTACTACCGCTCCTGGTCCCGGTACAACCAGGACTCACAATATACGTGCAGAACCCTACTAGGCGGTACAACCGGGCGACCAGGCGGTAGCACCGGTTGAGAAGAACAACCGGACCAACCGCCCAGCCACCGCTCCACCACCGCATAGGAACAGAAGGGAGTCACCCCTGAGTGCGGTAGTCGAGCGGTACCGGGCCGGTGCAACCGCATGGCCTTGAGCGCTCGGGCGGCTAAGTCCTGAGCGGTAGAACCGCTCCGGACACCAGTGGTACCGGTACGACCGGACCAACCGGGCCACCACCGCCCGAGTACCGCATCAAAACAGAGGCCTGACCGGTACTTGGGCGGTGCCTGGCCGGAACAACCGCCCAAGACTTTGCTGAGCAAGTTGGCGGTACCACCGCCCGGAAGTAGCGGTACAATGGCTGAGAGCTCCAAGCGGTACTACCGCTGGGGCACGCGGTACTACCGCTGGGACCAGACAAAAACCACTCTCAAGAAAACCAGAACTGCCATAACTTCTGCATATGAGCTCCGAATTGAGCAAACTCAAGCTTGTTGGATATAGTAAGAAGAGGCAGGGGAGGTATGCCAACAAATAGAGGAGTGAAACCTCCAACCAAGAAGAACCGGCAAAACCTCCAACATCGAAAACATCATAGAAGATGCATGTGAACTCCGTTTTCGATGAACTCGAGCTTGTCATCAAGATGACCATAAGCTCTAAGACTCACAAAGAGAATCAAACAAGAACCAAGAAAGATGATGCAAGGATGCAATGGTTTGAGATCTCTACGAACGATACGATCAAGCTACTCATCGAGAGCCCCCCTTGATAGTACGGCAATCGATCCTATAATCCGATCTCCCAACTACCATCATGAGACCGGTAAAATAGAAAACCTATCAAGGGCAAACCTTTGCCTTGCACATGGTCCACTTGAGCTAGATGATGACAATCTTGACTCCCTCAAGTTGGACCACCTTTCTTGATTGTGTTAACTCGATGAAGACTAGTTGATTGCTCCCCCATACTCCACTATGGGTGAGCCACTCTTCCACACATCTTCACAAGTCCATTATCACCACAAAGGACGGAAAGCTTCAAGCATTTGATCTCTTCGTGATGCTCCACTTGAACTTGCACACTGCAACCTAACCCCACAAAGAACTCTCACGAAGACCATGGGTTAGTACACAAAGCGTAATTGACAATTCTTACCATACCATGGGATCACTTGATCCCTATCGGTACATCTTCTACGCTTTGTGAGTTGATCAACTTGATTCACTCTTGACTTAGTCTTGATCAACCTTGAACCTTTCCAATTCTCTTCATTTGAATGATGTCTTGAAGGTAGGCATGAATGATCACACAATCTTCTTCTTCAAGACATGCTTGCAATAAGCTCAACTCTCACATGACCAATCTTTGGATAATTCCTTGAATAACACCTTGGTCGACACAAACTCTCCTTGAAAATCAACACATGCACTCCAAGAAAAGCCTATGGACAAAACCTTCAAATATAACTCAAGGAAACCATTAGTCCATAGAGATTGTCATCAATTACCAAAACCAAACATGGGGGCACCGCATGTTCTTTCAGCTTTGCTTGTAGCCCAAGTAAAGTTTCCGTGTGTGTTTGAAATCTGACCGTTGGAACACGTGTCAGTTCCTTAGTGACCCAGGGTCATTTCGAACAAATCAGGTCGGGTTGCCTAGTGGCTATAAATAGCCCACCCCCTACAACCATAAATGGTTGGCTGCTCAGAGTTAGTGTACGGCTTTTATCATTTGAGAGCAGCCCACCTCGAAGCCTTTGAGAGAGAATTCCTTGCGAGGACAAAGCTCTAAACACCCAGAGCCAAAGAGTGTTAGGCATCACTGAAGTCTTCCTGTCTGTGTGATCTGAAGACTTATTACACTTGAGGACTGTGAATCCTCCAACCGGTTAGGCGTCGCGTTCTGAGCATCCAAGAGTCATTGTGGACCACCGGTGAACGAAGTCTGTGAAGGTTTGGAAGTCTACCTTGAAGACTTACCAGAGTGATTGGGCGAGGACTGGGTGTCCTTAGCTCAAGGGGAATAAGGTGAAGACGCGGTCTTTTGAGTTGAATCTCAGCCTCCCTAACCAGACGTACAGTTGTCACAGCAACTGGAACTGGTCCAACAAATCATTGTCTTTAATGAGTCATTGGTTCCATTCTTCCCATCTCTTTATTTGCAGATTGGTCCTTATGAAGTCATTGCCTGTTTGCATTATCTATTTTGTCTTCACTGTGTGGCTGCTTGTTCTGTTTGGCTTCGTACTATCTTCCATCCTGATCTATACTGCCTAGTTGCTATTAGTCTTTGTGCTTTCATCTCATTGAATACTTGACTATGGCTTGCTTAGTGTAGTCTACCTCCCGCTGCATGGTAATAGGTTTGTTTCTATCATTTGTCTTCGAAACTTCCATGTTTTGAAGACTTTCATAAAAATCGCCTATTCACCCCCCTCTAGTCGATCACTAGCACTTTCATGTACATGTCAGGGTGGACGTCGACCGACTTGCTCTCCCTAATGGCGGCTGCCACCTGCTTGACGACATCAGTCATGCTGCTGAAGACGCTCAACTCGTCCTCCATCAAGTCGCCCCTCTTTCTCTTTCTATCAAGCACATGAATGTGATCATCACCCTTATTAGCAACATAAAGGTTGATGGTGTCTGACTCAGACTCATGGGTGTCTGGATAGTCATGCATAGGCAAACTGAGCGGGCTCACTGGACCCATGGCATGCTTGCCGGTTTCCAACCCAAAGTAGAAGATCTGCATCTGCGGGGTAGTTCTGGATGAGTGTGTTGGGAAACTCAGTGTCCTTGGGGTGGTCCTAATAATAAATAAACACATCGTAGTTAGGTGTGATTGGCATGTCAGACATGCTTGAACAAGTGGTATGTGAGCTAACCGGTGTGTGGCCTTGGTAACGATCTGACTCTAGAAGTGGCGTGCAAGTGTCCTGATCCCATGATGCACCACTAATGTCTCTAAGCTTGGACACTCTGATCCTTCTCGCTCTTCACTTTCTGAGGTGGTTGTAGACCTGGGTCAAGGTGACCTCTTGGCCACAGAACTCAAACACTTGCTTGGCAATAGAGTTCAAGTGTACCTCCTTGAAGCCCCACCAGTCCTCAATCCACTGGCTATGATATCACACATCTTATTAAGCACGATCGTAGACAGGAACGACTACCGTTTCATCGAGTTACCCCTTCCCCATCTTTCTTTGCATTCGCAATCTTGATGGCTGCCTTTTGTGTAGCAACAACAACATTAGGCACAACCGACACAAATATTGTAGGCACAAATGGTGGAAGGATAGCAGACTCCTTGAAGACATCTGAACCCGGAGGCATCTTCTCCTTGATAATAGGCTGGGAGTCGTTTACATAGGACGGTAGGAAGTGGCTCTCGGGCATATTGGTTGACTAAATTTTTACATGCTCATGTATTACAAGCGTTAGTATCAGCAAGAGTGGAACACACGACATATGGACGGGATGAACAAGCACTAAACATGAACTACGAACGAGCACTAAACATAGACAATAAGCATTGTACACACAGATCATTGAGTTCAACACAACATCCTATGACTGTTCTTCGATCTCATGGCATACCATGGAGTTCAACACACTACCATATCTATGATAGTATCATCCTTGCCGACATGAAAACAATACGAAGCTCATCAAATCCTACAAGCAAAGAATCCATCACCACTAGCCACCACAATATCACATTCTCACATATCAACAGTGTACAATGCTACAACATGCTCACAGATCCACTCGTAGCACATGCCTACATATCTAGCTAGAACCACTTGAGAGGGGGAGTGATCGAACTCACAGCCAGGAGCGCGCGGAACCCGTCGAAGAAGAGGAGGACACGAATCGCCGCTGCCGTGTACCATCGGTCGAAAAAGAAGCATCTCTGACCTGCTTGTCGGTTTCGATCCACGTGAGAGGGAGAGCTCGAAAGGGGAGAACAGTTGAGGGAGTTTGGGCGGTGAGGTGTGCGTGGCTATATAGGGCTACCGATTCGGCAGGAGGTGGCCCTGATTCCTCCCGCCGCTTTTTCGAAGACGCGTGTGAGCTCGCACCATCTCCGTGTTCGCATGAGCTCGACGCCGCGTACTAGTTCACTGCATCGCCGAATCTAGCTGAGAGGAACCATACGATTCAACATTCAACCGTTCCTAACGGACCTGGCTGCCGTGCAGGTCAAACGGTAAATGCAAGCTATCAAATGGGCATTTTGCATCACACGGACCTGGTTAGCCTGTATGCGTGACAGAGATGACCGGTCACCGTCGGCGCAGCGCTTACCGAAACCTGGAACAACTTCGACGCGACCTCCGCCCTTGATCCTCAGGAATGATCCAGGTTCCTCCGTCACCTCGCCACGCCACCTCGCTTTGACCCGTCTGTTTCCGTGGGCGCCCGCCCGCCCAACCGATCCGATCTACTACTACTAAACAAAATCCACAAAAGATCTTGCAGAAATTAAAAATAGGAAACGGAAACGCCCCCCTCTCTCTCTTCCAGCTCCTCCTCCACGCCACCCCGATTCGATCACTCCCCGAGCAGAATCCCCCCGATTCGATCACCGGCGAGGAGAGGAGGGAGGGGATGAGGAAGCGGGAGCGGGAGAACCCGTGCGGGATCTGCGGGCACTACCACAAGTACGAGGAGGGGGAGCCGTGCGGGGTGTGCGGCCACCGCCCGCCGGCGCTGGGGCCCGCCGGGCCGGCGGCCGCGCCGCGGCAGGAGTCGGCGTTCCCCTCGGAGATACTCAAGGACTTCCTCTTCCTCGGCAGCTACGACAACGCCTCCCGCTCCGAGCTCCTCAAGACCATCGGCATCTCCCACATCCTCAACGTACGCGATCTTCTGCTTATTAAGCTTATTACATGGATGGATGGATGCATGGCTTTCCATTTCCTGCGCTGGGCCGTGCGGTTGGGTTTGGGAATGGTAGATTCCTGCTTCTTTCCGATCGGGTTTGGTTGCTCCGGACCTGATTCGCGATGTAGGACTTTCGCAACAATATAGGATTATAGCGTGAGGAATTGATTGGATGTTCGTTTTGTCAAAAGCTTTTCCACAGTAAACTGATAGTGATGCCGTGACAATATGGGGGCAACGTTTAGTGTTCCAGCTATTTAGGGCAGCTCCAACGCGCCGACACAAACGGACGCTGGTTTTGTCTGCTTTTTGTCCATTTGGGTCGGCGTCCGCACCGGCAGTGTTTGGGTGGTCAGTGCGCCCAACAGGCCGACACATTTTCGTTCGCGCGGCCGGTATGAGGCCATATTTTTGCACTGTTTTTACATATCAAAAACATTGCCCAAAGCTTGCATAATTCATAACCAAATAAAATTATCATAGTCTTACAACCAAATAAAAATCTCATAGTTTACAAACCAAATGATATTTAAATTGTCACAAATACATTTGAAAGAAAAGAGCCGATACATCTATTGATTGCCAAGGTGAGCCCACATATGCTCAACCAAATCATCTTGTTGTAGTTGAATGTGAGTTGCCTAATCACACATTTCATGATGAAATTGGGTGAACTGTGCAAACGTTTCCGCTCCTCCATGATCAGGCACAACATTTTCACCCTCCCTGGTCGAAGATTTCATCCTCCCGCTCATCCTCTATGATCATGTTGTGGATGATCACAAAAGCAGTCATCACCTCCCACGACTTCTTGGTGCTCCAAGTTCTAGCAGGATACCGAACGATGCCCCATCGAGATTGAAGAACACCAAAAGCACACTCCACATCCTTCCTAGCACTCTCTTATTCTTGGGAAAACCTTGCCTCTTCTTTCCTATTGGGTTGGGGATTGTCCTCACAAGAGTAGTCCACTGAGGATAGATACCATCAGCTAGGTAGTATCCTTTGTTGTAGTGGTGGCCATTGATCTCAACATTGACCTCTGGGCAGTTGCCTTCTGCAAGCCTTCCGAACACCGGAGAACGCTGAAGCATGTTGATGCTATTGTGAGAGCTGGCCATGCCGAAAAAAGAGTACCAAATCCAAAGATCTTGTGAAGCCACGGCCTCAAGGATGACAATGCAAGCTTTCACATGGCCCCTATACTACCCCTGTCAAGCAGATGGATAGTTCTTCCACTTCCAGTGCATATAATCTATGCTACCAAGCATCCCTGGAAAGCCTCTATCTGCATTGATCGCCAACAACCAGGCTGTATCTGCATCAGTTGGCTATCTCAAGTACTTCGGGCCAAACACTGCTACCAAAGCCTTGCAGAACTTGTACATGGATTCTAGGCACATGGACTCACTCATGCGGACATACTCATCAATAAGATCACCGGGTATTCTGTATGCAAGCATCTGAATAGCTGCAATGCATTTTTGATAAGAGGAGAAGCCAACTTTTCCCAGGGCATTCCCCTTGCATATGAAATGATCATCGTACGCCACCACCCCCTTCTGAATACAATCGAACACATGTAGCCATCCGGAAGTGGCGCTGGAATAGCTTGTGTTTGAAGCTATGTTTTTAAGGCGACGCCTTACCGCCTTAGGGAGGGGGGGCGCTTTGGCGCCTAGGCGACGCCTAGGCGGGCGCTTTGGACGCCTAGGCGCCCAAAGCGGTCGATTTTCCAAAGCGGAGGGGGAGCGCTTCGACGCCTAGGCGTCGCCTAGGCGTCGCCTTAGGGACGCTTTAAAAACATAGGTTTGAAGAGCGGGGAAGAGGACGTGACCTAGTCTTCCCAGAGAGAGGCAATGGCCGCTCTCTCTGTGTCGATTCAACACCGGACAATGGCCTGGGATCAAGCCCCTAAACATCAGTCGCTTCCTAGCAATGTGGTCATGGACGACCAAAGTAGCAACCACAAACTCCTCATCGTCCGAATCGCAAATGAAGTTGTTGAAAAAGTATTCATCGCCACTATCCATTTGTACCTTGTGGGTGAAACATAGAACACCTTGCGGGCGTGGTTGAAGAAGCCGGTCGGTGAAGAGCCCCGCGCCTCTCCCAAACCCGGCAGTAGGCCTGTCGGCATGGAGGCGACCGTGGCGGCGAACGCCGAGTGAGGACGCCGGACTTGGAGTGTTGCCGGCGGCGGTGGAGGCGAGAGGGGTGGCGTGGTTGAGGGGGTGCTACGACGGCGGCGAAAACAGGCCACCAATGCCGGCAAGAGCGGCCGTCGGGTGCGGTGTGCTGCTGCGGGAGGTTTGTGGGTGCGGGCGTCGGCCTGGGCAGCGTCCAACTGGCCGGAACTGGGCGACGGCGACGAGGGCGGGGTGGCCGGGTGTCTTGGCTGTGGATGGGAGAGGGGGAGAATGGCCAATGTGCCATCGACTGACGGGCTAGGAGGAGGACAAGGACGGGCATCGCGCCCGTCCATGCCTTGTCTGCGCCGACGCAAACCTGGCCCAAATTTGAGCCTGAAATGGGTCGCGCCCGGACAAAAAGCAGACGCTCGCCCGTTTGTGTCGGCGCGTTGGGCCATGGTTTGTGTCCGTTTCGATCCAAACGGACGCGTGCGAACCAGAATGCGTCAGCGCGTTGGAGTTGCTTAGTTTCTCCAGCTTGTATTGTTGAAGGTGATGGGAGGCAAATGTTTGGAAATGTTCATGTGTTGCTTCCTCTGCTTATACAGTCTACATAGTCCATCACAGGTGTGCTGCATGGAGTTTAGTTGGATCTGTGAATTTCAGGGGTGCATATTTCCAATGTTTCTGTGAGACTTCCTGTAGTTTAAACTTGGCGCTCTAGAGCCCATAGTTCATTAAGGCAACAGCTGCTGCCCTGTACACGAACGACTAAAGACGCTGAGGGGTTTGTCGGATTGCGATGGTGAGGTAAGATGAAATGAAACAGGCAGATGAGAGAGAAAGTGACAATATAATGTTTGGCAGAGAGTGCATTGAGAGCGGGAGATATTTCTTTTTGTATCTCCTCTTTTTAGGATCCACATGAAGGTGTATTTGGGTGAGTATGCAGACCATAATTTCAAACAATACTCCTTTTTTATGAGCCATGTGAATATTTGGGTGGGTATGCATACCGTAATTTCAAATAATAATAGAGGTGTCCAAGATACCTAATTTTTTTACAAAAACAACCCGCCTTACCCTGTGTGGCCGCCTTCGCCATGTGGCGCATACATTGGCCGTGCGGAAGGGCGACTGAACTGGCAGGGGGTGATATAGTTGTGGAGATTTTGAATCAGAGGAGGTGGAGGATACAAGAGGAAGAGAATGGGTGAGGACAGAGAGGGAGGTGGAGGAGCATTGTATATCCTGCGATTCTGTTTTTAGATAGCGTCTTTAGCCATGATTTCTTTGCTCACGTTATATATGTGTGGTTTGTGAACATGCCAGGTTAATAAGTACTGGAATGGTAACTTGTGATTGTGATAGACACTACAGTTGGATTGAATAGTTGGAGGCCTTGGTTGTTTAGTTGTACATCGATGTCTTACTGAGATTTGTCAATAGGTCAATGATAAGTTGATAACTAGGCAAATGCGGACCAGCTAGCTGATATGTTACCTTGGACTGGTCCTCCATCGCTTAGATGTGTCATCTGAAACATTGCAAATATTCGTGTTCTGTTTGAAGAAGGAATGATATCTTACCAGCTCTTTGCCTGGCTGTGTCACTGGCGGACTGTGCAGTGGTAAAACCCTTACTAACTGACTTTGCCTGATCCTCTTTTGTTTAAACATGTGTCACATGTCATTCTGAAACTTCTCAAATATTCTTGCTCTGTTTGAAACTGAAATGATATTTTACAATGCTCTCTACCTGACAGACTGTACCCTTATGCCAAAACCTTTACCGGAACTCTTTTACTTATCACTGCCTTCAAGACGACAAGACTTTGCAGTTTGATGATGCAATCCAATTCCTAGGTATGGTGCTGTTCTTCTAGTCACCAGCCTACAACAAATAGGCACAAATGATGCTTACCATTTCCATTGTTCCATCCTGCAAGCTTGGCATTTGTTTTTTGTGGCAGACATTCACTTTCTTTTAGCATAAAACATTCTTCACTCTCAATCTCCCAGTCTGCCTAGCATCCCATATTTAACATAGGTTTATCTGGTGCTCAGTCAATAAGTACATCCTATACGTACTCATTTTGTTCTTTTCAACTTCAGAACAATGCGAGAGGGATAAAGCACGAGTGCTAGTCCATTGCATGTCAGGGAAAAGTAGGTGTGTACGTATAACATTAGTTCTCTTTAGCAGTCATTGTTTTTGACATTGTTAGGACATCTTTGATTAATGCATTCAAAATTCACATTGATCAGGTCAGCTGCATTTGTTGTAGCCTTCTTGATGAAGTCCAGAGGCTGGCGACTTGCACAATGTTTTCAGTGGGTGAAAGAACGGAGGCCACAAGTGCAACTGGCTGATGGTAACTTTTATAATTTACACTTGTACAAAACTTCTGCTGACATTCAAGATGAATTATTATGAGAAACTAGAAGAAAATAAGGTTGAATTGTATGCTGTAATTGTTCTTCTCTGATTCCAATATCTGAATTGGAGAACTTAAATCTTCATTGCTGTATTACACCCTAGTTGGTAACATCAAATTAAAAAAAGCATGGTAGCAAATAGCGTGAAAATTATGAGGGAGGCTGGAATTATGTTTACCTGACGTGTGCATATTTCAAAGGTTTGATATGGCCAAGACACAGTGAGCACCGATTTCTTCTGATCAGTTTCCACTCATTGAAAGCATGAAAAGGCAAGAAGTAAACAATTAAGCTATCATGTATAAAGAACTCTATAGTTGTTAGTTGAGCTACTACAAAAGCTTGCATTTTGAAAATGAAATCACACTGTAGTGCATTTGGATTATGTACTAGTTGTATGAAATTCATGGTGGGCTAAAGAAAGTTATTTACGTTTTTCTTTCTTTCTACAGCGGCACAGCAGCAGTTGATTGAGTATGAGCAGAAGCTTTTCAGTTGCAATGTTGCTCCAACGGATTCATTCCCTTCTCTTGGATTTGGTTTTCCGAAGCCGTCTGGTGATGTCCAGGTGCCTATCTTTAACCAGCAGGCTCCAGGGTCCATCTTTGAGCGGGTCAGCCCGAATAACATCCCGAGTAATTTCACATTTGGGGCCACCGAAGCTAAGCTCCCGGATGGCAGTAACTTCGGTGTGGTCAACTTGGCTGGGACTGATAGCATGATGGACAGCTCCTAGGTTACTACTATTGCAATGCTATAAACGGATGAGCTGCCCATTTAGTCAGATTTCTTGGAACATTTTGAATTTCTGGGAAGGAAGGTTGCATTCTTTGTACGAGGCTTCTTACAATATGTGCAAGCATTTTGGCCGTTGTGATGTTCTGCAGTTTAACATGCACGTGCGCTTTTGTTCAACTTTGTAGAGTAATTCAGGTGAACTGAAATTACGCTAGAAAGTTTGAGTAGAAGTATCATATGTGGCTGTTAAATTGTACAGATTCGTGTGTCAAGAAAGTACAGCTCAAAATCTATACATGTTGCCCTAAACTTATTTTTTGATCGCACGGAGAATGCATATACATGTATTTCGTGCACGCCGCTACCTGGAAGAAAAATGGATTTTGAACATACGGAACAGCGTGAGCGTGTTGCAGAGATGGGATGAATCCGTTCCATGCTAGCGGCTAGCCAGAGCATCTCCAGACGCCGTACAGAGGATTGAATGTTACTCCCTCGTCCCATAATGTAAGAACGTCTTAATTATGTTCCTCCATCTTATAATGCAAGACGTCTCATGATAGAATGTTTTACATTATGAAACAGATAATGTAAGACAGGATTGAATGTTACTCTGTCCGTCTCATAATGTAAGAATGTCTTACATTATGTTCCTTCGTCTTATAATGCAAGAAGTCCCATGATATAAGAACATTTTACATTATGAAACGGATAATATAAGACGTTCTATAATGTAAGATCATTCTCGTCCCATAATGTAAGAACGTCTTACGTTATGGGATGAAGGGAGTAGCATTTTAAGATCCTACATGTAGCTTGCCAGCAAGATAAACATAATGCAACGCATCAAATTGAATTTTGTCTTTAAAAGAGTGTACTTTCAACTTTGTTGAAAAATTATTTTTTTATGTTTGACCATATTTATATAATAATACATCAGAAGTTACATCATCAAATTAGTAGCATTAGATTAATGACAATATATATTTTCTTAATATATCTATTTGGTTTCACAAATATTGATATATTTTTGCATAAACTCGGTCAAACTTTGAGATAGTTTGACTCTCCAATAAAGTTAGAAGTACACTATTTCAAAGACGGATGGAGTATGTATATATAAGTTCAAGATTTGTTTATAAAAATCTTCGAAGTCGCATGTATCTAACTAAAATCATGCAGGTAAGACATAGTACTTTGTAGGGTTTCTCGTCATGCATAGGCGATGCCGAGATTTGGTGTGGGGTTCTTCGTATCGATTCAATAACAACGACTGCGGCTCAAGGGAGCTGGTCCTGAGGGGCAGCTCACAAAGACTTCCCAACTGTCATCAATAAGGCCAGGCCGACTCTCGTATGAGAGGGCAACAGCAGGCATCGACTGTTCATTTTGGCAGTGACAGTGGTAGTTCGGTGGTCCAGGACCTCAATGTAATTTTTATTATATTTGGGATGTTTTATACTTATTATGAACATTTATAATAGATAGGATCCTTACAAAAACAAAAGAAAAAAATGATGGGGATGGTTAGAGTATCTATCTCTACTATCTAAAAAAGATTTTGATTTCCTATTTAAGCCACTCACGAAGTCACGATTAGCTTCCCACCTTCATCCAATACTTCCTCCTCCATTTTTGATTTTTTTCTTACACCTTTGGTTTTTTCCCATTGGTTTTCATTGAAAACTGCACACGTCTTATTACCAAATGGAAAGATGTCGTCCTTGATAAGTCAAAAAACATTGAATTTTCTAAGGATGTGTTGATTCAATTGGTAGGCAACATCCATTTTTTTACGTAACCATGTTAATTACGTATAAAATGTTTGTGTCTCCGTTGCAACTCACAAGCAATTGTCTATATTGTTCGATATCTCTATTCCTAATGGACGAATTGGTTGAATAGTCCCCCCCACTTTCAACCGGTTTATTTTCAACCGGTTTATTTTCAACCGGTTTTTCTTCGTCCCACCTCCCACCAGCCCCTCCCACCGGTTTTTCTCTTTTCTCGTCTGACCGGCAATACCCAACGTATTTATGGTAATCAATCATAATTAATCCACGTATAGTAATAAATCAATCCAGGTATGGTAAGGTCATAATTCAGGAAATTTTGAATATGGCAATTATATGGTAATAAATTTAAATTACCCCAAAGGCTATCAATCCAGATATGGTAAGGCCATAACTCGGGAAATATCGAATATGATAATAAATTTAAATTACCACCAGGTATGGTAAGGCTATCCACGTATAGTAATAAATCATATAGTAATAAATCATAATTAATCCACATATAGTAATAAATCAATCCAGGTATGATAAGGTCATAACTCAGGAAATTTTGAATATGGTAATAAATTTAAATTACCCCAAAGGCTATCAATCCAGGTATGGTAAGGCCATAAATCGGGAAATATCGAATATGGTAATAAATTTAAATTACCCCAAAGGCTACCAATC